AATAATCTCATATTTGAGATTTAATTTCAATAACCCTTTCACCCCCCTACGGAAATAAGTAAATGCAAGAGAAAAATATAGATCCGAAAGTCGCTGAATCGGGAATTCCCGAAATTGAAATTAAATCTCAAATATGAGATTATTTCATATTTTAAATCTTGGCCGTGACCAAGTAAAATATTTGGTGCCTTGTGCACAGATACTTAATCCTAACGAAAAATTTAGTTTCGTTAGGATAACGCACTGTCATCCGCGAGTTGGCTCTTACTGCCTGTCTTATATCTTAAAATTTATATTTATATTACAGAGCCTTGTTAAACTCTTAATTTATATACACGCTGGCTTAAAAACGCGTTTGTTTACCAACATTATTACATATAGCAGAGAAAAGTATAGAATCGAAAGGATCTGAATAGCTCAGTTGGAAGAGCAGTCGCCCGGCAAGCGAAAGGTCTCGGGTTCGTTTCCCGATTCAGCGACTTTCGGATCTATATTTTTCTCTTGCATTTACTTATTTCCGTAGGGGGGTGAAAGGGTTATTGAAATTAAATCTCAAATATGAGATTATTTCATATTTTAAATCTTGGCCGTGACCAAGTAAAATATTTGGTGCCTTATGCACAGATACTTAATCCTAACGAAAAATTTAGTTTCGTTAGGATAACGCACTGTCATCCGCGAGTTGGCTCTTACTGCCTGTCTTATATCTTAATACTTATTCTTATTCAGCAATTATATAATTAAAAATAGAAACACGAAAGTTGTCCTGTCATATCGACAAGTTAGCTACTGTAGACTGGTATTATGTTTTTTAAATCATTTGAATAATGTTGTCATAAATAGGACTAAGGTTATCAGTGTCTATTTGTAAATTAATTTTATTTGTTGTCTTTTTATATAGAACATTTCAGCGATCTCTCTTTTTCGTCTATTTTTCTCGGTATGTAAAATATTGATGATTCAAGCCATCGGAAGTCATGATTGCAATCGGTTTTATGTTTACTGAGCACCGAGTGGCTTGTTTCATGTCTTTATATTATTCTGATGTTCTTTTACTCTAGTAATCAATAATTATATGTATATATCAATAATCTATAAATAAAGTAAATAAAATGTCTTTTTGTTTGTCCTATATACGACGCGTCACAATCATTACATTCTAGTCTGTATACTACATTCGTTTTGTTCATTTTCGGTAATACATCTTTACCGCGTTTAATTAGCGTGTTTAATTTTTTGGAATCTTTTATAAATTATTTTTAATCCTTTTTTCTTCAGAGTTTTAGAAATGTTATCAGTCAGATTATTGATATACGGTAACACAATATGAAAAAACATGTCAAATTTTTTATTGTTATTTTCATCTCTCTTGTTGTCAAAACTATTATTAATATTATTAATTACATGTAATCTTTTTTTAATTTGTTTTTTAATATCATGAGATGGAAAATTATTATTGGTTAGAATATCTTTAATAATTTGAATATTGTCAATGTGAAATTTATTGTCAGACAATAGAATGGCTCTATTGACCAAGTTGTTAATGCAATTAATTTTATATTTGAGTGGGAAAGAAAATTGATATATCTTCCCGAAAAAGTGGGTTTCCTATACCAATTAGTGATTAGACTCCTATCATTACATCTGATGATACTCGTGTCAAGAAAGTTTAAACAATTGTCTTTTTCAATTTCATAAGTAAATTTTAGGCGATGGTGGTACGCATTAAAAACTGATAACATTTCATTAACCTTAGAGCGTGGTAAAATCGTGAAGATGTCGTCAACGTATCTATAGTACACCGGTACATTAAAAGTCAATGAATTTAAACAAAAGGTTTCTAAATCGTCCATGACAATATCTGCCAAAATGGGTGACAATGGAGAACCCATCGGGCTGCCGAAAACTTGTTCATAAAAGTGGCCATTAAAACTAAATGTGGAATCTTATATAGTTTCTATTGCGAATGTAAGCTGTGACAAATTCAATGTGGTATTCTGTGAGATTGTGTTCCATCTCTTTTTAATCGCCTCAATTACAAGTTCTTTAAGGATGTTGGTGTATAATGATGTTACATCTAATGAAACTAAAACTTTGTCGTCATTAATGATCATATTTTTTACTTTTTTTGCAAATGACCAACCGTCTTTTATATGCGATTTCGGTTTTTCTATAGTATTGTGTAGAATTTTATGTATGTACTGTGCAATATTGTATACAGGACTGCCAAGTGCAGATACAATAATTCGGAGAGGAACGCCAGTTTTATGTATCTTCGGCAGCCCGTAGCATTGAGGGAGATTTCCATTTGTATTATTTAATACCTTATACGTTGATTCGTCAATTACATTATTATCGCGCCAAGACTTATCGCACCAAAGAATTAATTTTATTTGTTAATTTTTTTAATAGGATTTTTGTCTAATTTTTTATAAGTGGTTCGATCATCCAACAAGGAGCTCATTTTTAAAAGGTAGTCACTTTTGTTCATTATTACTATGGCTTGCCCTTTATCCGTTTTTAGTTATTAATAAATTTTGGTTGTTACGTATGAAGTTTTTGCAATTAGCCTTTTAAGGTTGATTACGATAGTGACAGCAAAAAGAGAGAAAGAAAACAAAAAGTTTATTAATATATAAAATAAAATATATATTTTAAATTTTCCCCCCTTACATGTGACTCCTTGATGTGGGCAATATAATCACTTTCTGTTATGTAAATTTCTAATTTACTGGGTTTATTTATTGCTCGCACATTCTATCAAAGATTTTACTTCGCCATAACTCAATAATATTTCAACCTGAGGGATTCTAATTTTACTTTATTTAACTTCTTTTTCATTCATCTAACTTAGAGAAAGACAAGACGGTTCACCTTGGTTAGCGGTTCAGAGTCGGTTCGTTCTCTTAAGTAAATCGGTTCTTTTATACGATTCATCGGTTCTTTATAAATAATTATTCTTTATCTTTTTTAAATTTATTCTCGTACAAAAAATCTTTTATATTCGCTTATTTAAGCTTAATATAAATCATAAATGTTTGGGAAATACAAAAAAATTGTTTTTTTTATTATATATATTTTTATTATTATTATTAATATATTAATTATAATAAATTAACATTATGTTGCACAACTAAAATTTGATTAATTTTTTTGTTGTTAATCGGCTTTTTTCATTACAAATTTGTCCCGCTTTAAAAAATATTCTTTCACATGGGACCGAAGTTGCAGGGATGCAGAGCCTTTTGAGCATTATTTTATATAAATTTGGGTATAGATTTTTTCTTGCTTCCCACCAAATTAGAGGATCGTTTGTCCTGGTAATGTGGAGTTCGGCCAAATATTTGTCTAACTCTATAATTGCTGCAGTAGAGGGATTGTGCATTCCTTGAAGGTGGCTTATTGTGATATCAAATTCTTCCCAAACTGAGATTGTCGAAGATGTCGTCAAAAGAGGTTGGACTGGTTGGGAATGTTGGGACAAAGGCCCGTATTCATAGTCGAGTCTCAAATTAACACATAAGATGATTATGATCAAGTCTATTTTATTCAATCTAGATCGTCTTAAGATTAATAGATTTCATAATCGTCATAGATTTCATAGCCGTGAAATAAGACAATCTTCGTGAAGAAGTTAACACTCAAGTAAATCTTATTTAATTTGAGACTGACTTGATGAAGACATACTTAAGCCTGTGCTTATTTTCGCGCGCGCGAATCGGCTATTTTCGTAATATTACTATTATTCCTCCAATAGGAACATAGCATTTCCTCCAATAGAAACATTGCATCGGAGACACATATGATACATGCAGACATGCAATATACGTATTCTTGTGTGCTGTTATCTTGCGTTCGTACGGATGTGTTTCATCGCTTCAATTTTCAATCTTCATTGAAAAAAATCATCGAGAAATATACAGGTTTGAAATATTTGTAATTAATGAACGACGATATTTGAATCTTATTGAGTAAAATTAAACTTTAGTAGATATTAAATATATATTTTTTACAGAATGTCTTGCAAAGAGAAGCCTACAAGCAAAAACAAACACTATTCATTGATGGAAAGGAAATTATTCTTACAAATACTAGAAAAACATGTAATAGAAATAAAAAAAAAGCGACGGCACAACATTAAAAGATAAAGACCTTGCATGGAGTGAAGTATGTAAAGAATACAATCAATCGACACTAATCTCTCAAGAAGTAAGAACTTTATATTTTTGATTATGCGAAGGGCCTAATATAGCAGATAATAATATACGCTTTATTATATTACACAATATTTTGATTATAGAGAACTTCAACAATTGAAAAAATTGTGGCCAAATCTAAAGCAGTCGCAGAGAGATGTATTAACTAAAGAAAAACAATCGCGTTTAGCAACTGGTGGAGGACCAGAAGAAACTGAAGCAAAAATTGATCCTGATGTACTTAATATAGCACCATATCTAATATAAAATGCACCAGTATTATTTACATCAAATATGACAGATTTAGAGATTGAAGGTACATCTACAATTAACTATTATTAACCTAATTTAATGTGACCTCTGAATTTTTTGCAATATAATTATTGAATATTTTCTAATATTAATGTTTCATTCTTATTGCTTCTTGTTTTTATTTTTATTTTATTAACTTCTATTTATTTCAGAAAAGCGTGAACTTACATTTGACATAGTATCTACAAATGAAAATTTAGATACATTAGACCCCACAAACAATAATGAAGATCTTATAAGTGATGAGAGCGACAAAAAAAATATTGATTCACAAGGTATTTATTATTAATCATATTAATAATAATAATATTATGTCCACTATATTGATCTGTAAAATAAATTAAAAAAAACATGCTATCTTAATTTTTTGTAAAAGATATATATTATTTTTAATACATTATTTATTGAAGATATTTTTCATTTTTACTTCTATTTTATAAATTTTTACTTTTATTTCATTAATTTATATTTGTATTTCAGATAAATGCAAGATTGAATTCAATACATCTACTAATGATATTATTTTAACATCAGATAGTGAAAACAAAGATTATTTTAAAAATAATGAGATCGGGCAAAAAATTATTGATATACATACTTTAAAGAGATATAATAAACAATCAATACATTCTAGTACTACAGATACACAAAGGAAAAAAGAAAATGCATCAGGATGATCGTTACTCAATGCGAAGAGTTATTGCAATTGTACCTAGAATAACCCGGCAATATGTTCGTAAGCTAATTGAGACAGAACAGCGATTAATAATATGTTTAAGGTAATGTGGTAAGTTAATTTATCTCTTATATCTATGTAGTTATAGCAACTGAAGAAATTTATAATAATTTTTAATATTTTTAAAATTTATATAGTATTTTAAATTTTAATGCAATTTTAATTTTTCGATAAATGTTTGTGATTGTGTTCTAACTTCTATAAATTTTGACATATCGAGGTTGTTCGTGGGACGCCACGTAATCAAGTAAATAATGGACTGTATAACTTTGTTTTTATTTTGGCACAAAAAAAATGAGTAAATTTACAGTAATGAATAAAACACAAGTAAGAATAAAGCCTGATTAAGATTATAAACTGAATAATAATGTCACTATAGAAAATAAATTCACCAGGGTTCGTAATCGCGGATCACTCGCTTGTTAACTTTTCGGGTCTCTCGGACGACTGACTGGTCGGAGCGCTTAGGCATTTCACCCAAAAACGGGGCAAGCGTGCCTCGCAGGGAAGATCACGACGTGCTCACGCTTGAGAGTCGTATAGTATCACGCGCCTATCATGCCGAATAACAGTTCGGACGGACTCCGAACAGAGGTAAATTCTTTTACTTGAATAGAGTATCATTAAAAAATAAAGAATGGTTGCTATTAAATTTAATGAAGATTGGTGATCATTTTTCATGAAATTTTGAATTTTTTAAATATAAATTTTCGAATTTTTTACGAAAGAAACATACCAAAGGAACATAAAAAATAAATAAATATATATATATATGTATATATATATATATATATATGTATACACTTATGTTATTTATTTAAGAAATTTTTCAAATTTGATTTTAATTCAATAAGTTAATTATTTGTATATTTTTAATTAATATAAAATTTATATTATAGATTATTCATTTAGACGGAGTGCAGGCTCGTACTCCTAAAATTTCACGATATAATAACGGCAATGTGCCCTACGAGCTACAGATCCAGAGTAATACAACAATCTTCAATTTTGGGAAATATAATATGGAACGAACCAATTTAATCGAACCGGAGCTTGTGGAGTTTTGTGATGTAATGAATACATCATCAAGAGTCGGTAAATTACAATTCAATCTTATGCCTTCTTATACTCATGAATTGTTTATTATTATTCTTTTTATTTTTATTCATTTCTTATAATACTATTTAATATTTCGAAAAATATTGAAAATATAAATGTTTTATACCAAAGTTTTATAACTTCAAGGGAAACGAAAAATGGTATCATTAGTTTGATTTTGGATAATTGTTTGAAGATCACATGAAGATCAACTTCTATTTTTTAAATGAAAGTCCTATTTTTGAATACTTATTCTTGTAGCTTATCTCGAAAGCTTTCCAAAACAATATAATAAAATATTTTTTTCTTAAATATTTCTTGAGTTACATAAAATACAAAATATCTTGTGAAACATTCAGTTTTCAGCAATTTTACTTTAATACTTTTATGCATAGAATAATGAAACTAATCAATTAGTGTAAAAAAATACATAGTTGCATTAAAAAAAAGTGTGCAGCTGCAGTGGCAAATTACTTACATTTTTTTTAAATACTTATTTGTTTTCTTTATATAAATTAATTGGTCTCATTATTCTGTGCATAAAAGTATTAAAGTAAGATTACGGAAAACTGAATATTTTACAAGATATATATATATATTTTATGTTTTATGTTAAAAAATTGTAAACTTTAAGCTTTATATCTCAAAAAGTACTTAAGAAGAAAGTATTTTATTATAGTGTTTTGGAAAGCTCTCGAAATAAGCAACTACAAGAATATGCATTAAAAAATAAGGGTTTCCATTTAAGAAATTGAAAGTGACCTTCACGTAAGATTCAAACGATTATGCAAGATCAAACCAATGATATTCTGTCTGTCCCCCTTAAAGTCATAAAACTTTTGTATAAAACATTTTTTTCGTATTTTCTATATTTTTCGAAATATTGGTGTAGACCGATTAAATCGAACATCCTGAATATATACATATACAGGATGAGTCTGATAAAAAGTCCACCACGTTTTTTTCAAAAACGATTAGAGATAAGGGAAGATATAGAAAATATCTATTTTCAAAATTAGGGTTTAAAATATCGATTTACAAATCTTATCACTTTGATCTTGGATGACGTTGCCAAGGTCAAAGTAAAAACATCTTGAATTTTTTAAATAAGATCATCATATATTTTTATTATTTTATAAATTGATTCCTTGTAATATTCTGTATAAGAAGTTATAAAAGAGTAGGATGATTAAAAAGTGAATATATAGATTATAAAATATTTTATATTTTAATTTTACATAATCTTACACATGAACTGTGAAATTTCTCTTAAAATATTCATTTTTTGATAATCTTATCTTAATATTATATTTTTATGAATAAAATAATGAGAAAAATCGATTAGTCTAGAGAAAATACATAATTGTTTTTAAGAAAAAATATGTAATTTTCAACTAGAAGCCATTTTGTACATAAAAGTATTAGGATAAGATTATTGAAAAATGAATATTTTACAACATATATATATATATATATATATATATATATATATTTCATAATTTATGTAAGATTATGTCAAATTAAAATATGAAATATCGTAAACTATTCACTTTTTGACCTTTTTACTCTTATAACTTTTTATACAGAATATTATAGAAATCGATTTGTATAAAAAAGTATGGTGATTCTATTTAAAAAATTCAAGTTTTGTCTTGACCTTGGCAACACCATTTAAGGTCAAAGTGATAAGATTTGTAAATAGATATTTTTAAACCTATAATTTTGGTAATATATATTATTCTTTATATCTTCCTTTATCTTTAACCTTTTCTTTTTTAGAAGAACGTAATAAATTTTCTATTACTCACTCTGTATATATGTTTATATATTTATATGTTTTATATTTATATGTTTATATATTTATGTTTACATATTTTTATGTTTATACATATATTTATGTTTATATATTTATATGTTTATATATTTATATATTTATATATGTTTATATATTTTTTCTTTTATAGCATTAGAGGACTATATAAAGTCCAATTTTGGGCCAATTTATAAAACTAATTTGAATAAGAAAATTGGATGTGGATCCATCACTGATGGGTACTTTAAATTAGAAGTACATATTACAAGTTTTGAAGAAAACGATTATGAACTTATGAAAGGAGATAAAATTAAAGTAATTGGCGAGATGCAATATGCAAGTAAGAAATGTTTAAATATTTATTATTATTATTATTAATTTCAATTTTATTAATTTTAAACTTTCCTGCTTTGATATTTTGATTTCGTAATCATGGTGTTTCAAAAAAATATAATAATAAATTTAAGGGCTTCTTAAAAATGTTTTTGTAAATCAAAAAATGTCAATAAATTTATATCTTCGATTATCAATTAAATTAAAGAATTATAGATAAATTCATTTATTTTTTGAACTTACAAATTTTCAAACAACATTAAATTAACAAATTTTAAATTCAATAACATTATTAAATATTTAAGTAATTGTTTAAAATGATTTCCTTGTTCCCTTGCCTTCGTATACACACACATTTCACAGCAATTTTTTTATGATTATATATTAATACCTTTATTCTTTTTCGAAATTATACATATATATTTTATTTTTATATATAATAACTGTGTAATAATTATTTACAGTTGATCCACCGTACTTTTCAGTACAAAGTCTAAACATTAAGAAATTAGAAGACCGAATGTCTTTGACTACTATAATAAATGTTAATCGCACGTTAAAGAAAAAGAAATTTGAAGAAAATTCATCACAACAGGTAAAAATTATATCATCATTAAAAGTAATAAGTGTAATCGGTGTGTGTGTACAAGGTGAGTCAAAAGTATGTTTAAAAAATTTGTGTATTCTTGCATAAAAAGGAACAAGCTCACAAATTTTGAAAACAATATTTTTGATTCACCTTATATCTGCGTAGAGAGAAACAGAGAGTGCAAACTTCTCCATTTGTTTACATAAACAGCTTCAGTAAGCAACCACTGCGAAGTAGCAAATAAATGTATAAAAAATGTTTAAAACTCATTTTAAAAGCTATTTAAAAAATGTTAAAATAATTGGTTAAGTTCCTTTTTATTCATTAAAAAAAGTTTACTTTTATATGTTAATGTATTATAAATATTAATTTAACATTTATTAAATATTTTATATATTTTTATATTTTTTAAAAATATTAATAAATTTTTATATTTTTTAAAAATATTAATAAAATAAATATGTAATAAACGTTAAATAAACATTTATTTTATTAATATTTTAATAATAAAATATTAAATATTTAGGTTCTCTTAAATATAAGGTTCTCGGGTTCGATTCCCGATTCAGCCACTTTCGGATCTATATTTTTCTCGCATTTATTTCTTTAAGGAGGGTCAGAGGGGGTTCAATGGAATTAAATCTCAAAGATGAGATTATTCCATATATTTAAGTCTTGGCAGTGACCAAGTAAAATTCGTGCCTTGTGCATATAATTATTTATTTCCGATGAAAAATTAATTTTCGTCGGAATACACGCAGCAACATCCGCGTTCGGCTCTTACAGCCTTTCTATCATATGTATTATATTTAATATTGAGAGCCTGATAGAAATATCTTAATTAAATATTTAATAAATGTTAAATAAATATTTATATTGAATTAACATTAAGGTAAACGTTTTTTTTTTAAATGTGATTTATATAAAAAAGGACTTAACCAATTATTTTAACATTTTAAAAATATCTTTGAAATGAGTTTTAAACATTTTTTATATATTTGTTTCTTACTTGGGTATGCTTACAATAGAATTCAGATTGGATCATTTAATTTGATATGTATATTATAGTCTATCTCTTTTAGTTTAAAAAATAAAAGAGAATTTTTGGTGGAACATCCTATATACATATACAAGATGTTTCAAGGAATGATCAATATTCTATGGTTATATTCTAGAACATGATTGTATGAATTATTTTAAGCAAAAAAATTTATACAAACATCTTATTTTGGACGGTTTTAAAGATACAATGTGTTCAATTTTAAAGATCAAACACATTTATTAATTTAGGAGAAATAAATACTATGAAACAATAATTAATTAATTAATTAATTAATTTTTTTTATTTAATTTTTGTCGTTTTCTGTTACTATCCGAATACAAATGTAAACATTAGGTCATATTTAATAAGTTTTGCGTTAATTTGAAATTTTTTGTTTCTGGTGTAATTAAAATGTTTTATGTTTACACTCATGCCAAATTTATTGTTAATTAATTTAAATTATTGTTTACTAATTAATATTAATTTAAATTAATTATTTAAAATTGTAAGCTTAAAATTTAATGTAATTGTTTCATAAAATTTGCTTCTATTAAGTTAAAAAAATGTATTTGTTCTTAAGACTGAACACGTTGTAGTTTTATAACCACGTTCACAAATGAAACACATGTTTATATAAACTTTATTGCTTAAAATAAGGTATACAATCTCATATTTCTATACTTTAGAATGCTAATCATTCTTCCTGAAACACTTTGTATATAATATATAATATAACTATATACACAATACTATATATAAAATTGCATATATATTATACAATAATTACATTTTATATATGCATATATGTGCATATATGTTTATTTATTTATTTATTAGAATATCTTTTAGTGTCAGATCAAGAAAAAAGCAAACAAGAATAAAGAGAGAAGAATTTCAAAATGTTACTATTAATTATTCAAAATTATAAAATTTAATTGTTTTATATGTATAATATAACTGTAAACTTAAAATTTGCTACTTTTAAATAAATTCATTCGTTCTTAAAACTGATCACGTTGTATTTTTATAACCGCGTCCAGAACAAAATACATGCTTATATAAACTTAAAATAATCTGTATTTATTATGTTCTAGAATGTTAATTATTCTTCCTGAAAAACCCGGTATATTTAATGTAACTTTCTCTGCATTTCTATATTCTTGTAGCTTCGCTCGAGAACTTTTCAAAACACTATAACAAAATATTTTTTTATTCATATAAAAACAAATATATTGCAAATTACTTACTTTTTTAAAATCAACCCTGTGTTTTTCTTATATCAATTAATTGGTCTCATTGTTTTGTACATAAAAATATTAAAGTAAAATTACCGAAAACTGAATGTTTTACCAGATTTTTTTTGTATTTTATGTTAAAATTTTATAAACTTCAGATCTAATAACTAAAAAAAATACTTTATTATTGTGTTTTGAAAAATTCTAAAGCTGAACTTTAAGAAGATGTAATAAAAAGTAAAAGTTTCCATTAAAAAATTTAAAGTGATCTTTACGTGACCTTGACGACGCTGTTCAAGGTCATACTGATATTGTTACATAATGCTTTATTTGAAGTCCTGCAACTTTTGTTTAAAACATTTTTTTATCTTGTATATTTTTGGAATAATTCAGGTGCTTCTATACTTTTTGAACATTCTGTATATGTATGGTACATACATATATATGCGCACATATAATGTTATGTGTTTATATCCGTTTCTTTTTTTAATTAAACAATATTAATAGAAACACAAAAGGATGAAATGTAATGGATTTGGAAACTTTGTTCCCAATGTTCATCGGAGTATATATAATTAGTAAATTGATAGGAATGAGGAAATATTTATCGTAGCATTCAAGCAATATTTATAAATCAACCGGAACTGTTTTACGTGATACAGTTTTATGTGTGTATCTTTTCAATAAATAAAAAATCTTAAATTTTCATGTTTTAAAATGTGACCACCGTATACGAAAAGAGATATTTATATCGTATGCATGACAAATAATTATTTTATAATCGTTCTGCAGATGTTGCTGTTTAAAACCCGTGGTACCTCATGTACTCATTGTCAAATCCATGACTTTCAAACTTGCATTCATAGAAAAATGAAGTATACTTAACAATATTTATTAATATTAATAATTTTACGGCAATAATTTGAAACTGATTTCACAATTTGATAGATTAATATACAGATATAATTTCTATCGTTGATATAAATGTGCGAAAAAAATATGCTTGACAATTTTTTCCTCGAAATTCGAATCCATCATAATCGATTTAAGGGGGAAGTCTACTGTGACAAGGGAAAAAACAGGCCGATTTTCCGGATTTTTTTTCTAACAAAATATGACTTGTACATTAAATTAAATTAAACCGTCATTTTTATTATATATTCAAGTATTTGTAAAAAAATTTTCAAGTCGAAATATTCAAAATTGCCGTCGTGGCACTCCTTCAAGCGCAGGTCCGTTTTTTTAGGTGCCCAAACGGTGTACATAAAATCTCACGTCTGGGTGATCTGAAACAAAAAACAAAATATGGTTATCATCTACATAATATTGACTCTCGTCTGACGGAGGATTTTGTCGATAAAAAATTTTGGCGCCGAAAAAAAATTCTTGAAATTTTTTTCTATTTTTTTGCCCAAATTTGATGTTATTATTGTTATAACAATTAAACAAAAAACGATATCAAAAAAATGCTCCGTCAGACGAGAGACACTATTCCAGAGAATATATGGTTAAAATTTCAAGTCGATTTATTCATTAGAACTTGAGATATCGTGTACACCGTATTGAAAAACTTAGTTTCGAGAAAAACGCGTTTAAAGTTTCGGCATTAGTTTTTTCAATGAAAAAATCATTTCTAAGCTTCTTACCATTAATCGCTCATTCCTGCTTCATATAGTACATCTTCTTCTTCAAGAAAATTCTCTTCAAGTGCCGATCGCGCCGTTCTTCTTTCGATTCTTCCTTCTTTTGAAGCGTCGAACGACCGTTCGTTTGCTTGTGATATTCTGCGCTCGTCCACGGTGTTGCATAAATTGAAGGCGTTTGGTCCAATTTTGATGTTCATAACGTCCATCATTTTGAGGATACTGGAGTAGCTTTCATTGAAAATGCTCGCAGCACAATACGACGCAATATCGACGGTTTTTGCGCCGCTGAATGTTTGTTTCGGAGCTAACGACCAGATCATCGCATTCAGGCTCTCGTTGCTGTTCTGTGTATATCCTCCAACACAACGTGTCAACAAATTTTCGTTGCTCAGCTCTTTGTATATAGGTGTGATGGCCTTCAGCACGTCGCTAGAGAGAGCCGGTTTGTGTTCATAATCGGACAGATTACCTTGAGCTTTGGCTTGTTGCCAGGTACACCAGCTGTCTTCACCCTGCGGACAATCCTCATGTTGTGGTTTCTCGTTTGTCGATGCTTTGTGTTTCAGCGTAGCCCATATAGCCTTTTTCATATCCGGCATAGAATCTTTATTCCTTTGGATGGCTAACCCGTAATAAACACTAAGTTCATCTATTAGTTTTGCTGTGAGCTTTCCTTTGCCGCCCAGTCCTTTAGTATCTTTTTTTAGTTTCCTCAGTTGTGCTCCCATTCTTTTCTGGACATGGCCAACGCATTCTTTTTTTTCGACAATACAATTTTCGCCGTAAGAGTTACATTCTGTTATCCTTTTGAAAGTTTTGCAATCGCCGTCACCGACATAGGAGGTATATTTCACGCCGTGTAATTTCTCCGATCTCATGAACATTTCTTTAGTCGCGTCCACCTCCATTTTTCCGGCGCTACCAACGTGATTCGCAGTGCACTCATTTTTGTGTTTCCATCCATTCATCGAAGTCGTCAGCGTGTGTCTTCCAGTACTCGCACTGCTTACAATACGCGCATTTTACTAGGAGATCGAGGACTTTTCCTGTATAACGTCCGATCAAAGTCGTTACGCGTTGCAACGATGAATAACCTCGCTTACGCCAAGTTCCGTCGCCAGAAACAGTTAATCCTCTTGTTGGTTTGTCAGCATTTTCGGTACTTTCCGTCAAATTTTTTTCTTCAGCAGCAGCAGCAGAAAACAGTAAATTGGCAACGGCTTGCGATGCAGTATGAACACTATCGACGATATCATAATAAACTTTTTTATTGAACATTTTCGGGAGATCCATTATACCGCAAAACT